AGTGTTCTTCCATCTTGTGGACATGAGCATGCTGAACTGTTTCAACATGTACCTTGTGAGAACTGGACGTAAGCCCACTTTCCGTGACTTTGTATTTGATGCTGCAATACAGTTATTAGGAAAGTTTGCAAAAGATGTCCCAGGTATTCAGCAGCCCATCATAAACCCACTGTTGCAGCATGCTGGTACTCCACGCCTCGCTCACACTGAAGGCTTCCTAGCACACAAACTTAAGTATTTGCCACCTGGTGTGAAGCGTGCAATAGCCCAACGTGATTGCTTGGTGTGTAAAACAACGACACGTAGAGACAAGAAACGGAAGCTTGTGCAAACATGGTGTGAAACGTGTGGTATCCCATTATGTGCTGTCGACTGCTTCAATGACTATCACAGTCTAGAAATCTTCTAAGTGTGCTTCAAAGTGTGTATAGCGTGTGCGAGTGTGTAAATATGTAAACATATAAGCAGAACATATAATATAATAGACTGTAATGACATATTATATTGCCGTAATTGAAAACATTTGTGTGCGCTTGTGTATACTCAAATATGCAACAATTATTGATACAAAATATGTTCAAACAGTATTTGAAACACAATTAGTGAAAAAAAATTAGATAAAATGCGCTTAGACATTGTAAATAAATAGCGCGAAAATATATTTGTGGCAACTCTGGCTGTTTGAGGACCGCGCGCAACATCTCCCGGGCGTGTACTGCATGAGCGACCATGCAGATTGTGACGTCATCGCAGAGCTTCTCGGCTCTATTGCAACAAAAGTAAGTACAATAGATTTTTTTTTTTATTTTTCCCGTGATCAGTGAACAGAACTTAACAGATTAGCAAAAAAAAAATTTTTTTTTTTTTCAAAATGACATGCGCCTGTGTGGATAGCAGGATATTAGACCCCGAGCATGTTAAGGGTTAATATCATCACGTGGTCTACAGTACTCAACTGTTTAATTACGTGTCAACAATTATAGTCACGGACCATAATCACACGTACACAGTAGTGAACGTCAGGGACTGGCAGACGCGATATCGGCAGGCCTTAGTGTTCTCACACGCTCACGTTAAGTATACTTTTCTAGTTTGATGCATCATTCAAGATTGTATATTTGTGGGTAGTCTGTCGTTATGTTACAAGTTGATCAATAATGCAATGTTAGTTGATTCCCCCTTCTTATTCCAATCTCAATGAATACTGGAATAATTCATAGCCTAATCAAATGCTACTCAAATTTCCCTGATCGCAGCGTGTAGACGAGGATGTGCCAAGTTTTTCTTCCTTTACCTACGATGTTAACCACTGGTGTTTCTTCCTTATTGGGACCTTGTGATCGCGAGGACGAGTAACAAAACGGACTTAGTAAACATTTGATAGAGGCCAAACCCCCAAACATACCAGCGATACAAAGATGCGAGAAACAACTACACGGCAGTGAGGAGAGAGGCCGAAAGAAATTTTGAAAAAGGGATTGCAGACAAATGTAAAACAGAACCAGGTCTATTCTATAAATTCATAAACAACAAATTGCAGGTAAAGGATGATATACAGAGGTTGAAAATGGGAAATAGATTCACGGAAAATGAAAAGGAAATGTGTGAAACATTAAACGAAAAGTTCCAAAGTGTGTTTGTACAAAATGAAATCTTCAGTGAACCAGATACAATAAGAATTCCAGAGAACAACATAGAGCACATAGAGGTGTCTAGAGATGAAGTGGAAAAAATGCTCAAGGAGCTAAATAAGAACAAGGCAGTTGGTCCAGATGGAGTTTCACCATGGGTTCTGAGAGAATGTGCACCTGAGCTCAGCATTCTTCTTCAACTGATTTTTCAGGCATCCCTGTTTACAGGAGTTGTAGCTGATGTGTGGAAAAAGGCTAACATAGTTCCAATCTACAAAAGTGGAAGCAGGGAAGACGCCCTTAACACTTTGGCGTACCCCGCGCGCCACCCCTCAACTGTGCGATTTGGGCCCCAGGGTGTCACGGGAGCACGCGTAAATTCTGAAAAGTGTATACTCTCTTCAACTTTGTCACCTTAATTCTCATCCTACGAGATTAAATTTGCTATCATTGTGTTCGCGATAGAATTCTCTACAGCACTAAATGTATATAAACTCCAAAAGCCTGGCTAATTACCCGCATCAAACAGAGAAAATGCGAACAAGTTACTCAGGAGCGAGCAAACGCAATAAAATGTTTTCACTATTTTCACTCTGGTCACCTCAATTTTCGTCCTAGGTCTTTCATTTTGGTCTCAATGGGTTTGCAATAGAATTCTCTAGAGGAACATTTGCATATAAAATAAAAAACCTGGTCACGCTCCAACCGCCGACGAGTTAAAGACGGGCCACGTGTTAGCCGCTAGTGAGCGCTCAGATGCCTTCCAGCTACACTCCCAATTCCCGCCCTTTTCAAGCCTTTCTTTCGCAAATTTCTTCCTGGAAGGGCCTTGTTCATGATCACTATCCATCGTGGAGTAAGCGTAGATAGTTTCTAAAGCCGCAGTAAGAAATATAGCCACGGAAAATAGCCGAAATGTTCACACGTTTGAGATGCGAGGGGAGGCGACATTAGTCACAACAGTGGAGCGAAAACAATGGGCCGACGGTGTGTGCCGAGCCGCCTGCGGGCCACGAGGCGCAACAAGGAAAATGGGAAGTCATCGGCGCGCATTTTAAAACCAATCCCCAAAAAATCGGATAAAAACCTGATTTTTGGCGATTATTTAAAGTGGATGACGCAATGCTGCGTCATCCCCGGCATCACCGACAGTAAACGGATGACGCAATGCTGCGTCATTCCCGGGCGAAAGTGTTAATTATAGACCAGTATCATTGACATGTGTAATAGTCAAAATATTGGAAAAAATAATTAAAACTAAATGGGTAGAACACCTGGAGAGAAATGATATAATATCAGACAGACAGTATGGTTTTCGATCTGGAAGATCCTGTGTATCGAATTTACTCAGTTTCTATGATTGAGCAACAGAGATATTACAGGAAAGAGATGGTTGGGTTGACTGCATCTATCTGGACCTAATAAAGGCTTTTGACAGAGTTCTACATAAGAGGTTGTTCTGGAAACTGGAAAATATTGGAGGGGTGACAGGTACGCTTCTAACATGGATGAAAAATTTTCTGACTGATAGAAAAATGAGGGCAGTGATCAGAGGCAATGTATCGGACTGGAGAAATGTCACAAGAGGAGTACCACAGGGTTTAGTTCTTGCACCAGTGATGTTTATTGTCTACATAAATGATCTACCAGTTGGTATACAGAATTATATGAACATGTTTGCTGATGATGCTAAGATAATAGGAAGGATAAGAAACTTAGATGATTGTCATGCCCTTCAAGATGACCTGGACAAAATAAGTATATGGAGCACCACTTGGCAAATGGAATTTAATGTTAATAAATGCCATGTTATGGAATGTGGAATAGGAGAACATAGACCCCACACAACCTATATATATTATGTGAGAAATCTTTAAAGAATTCTGATAAAGAAAGAGATCTAGGGGTGGTTCTAGATAGAAAACTATCACCTGAGGACCACATGAAGAATATTGTGCGAGGAGCCTATGCCACACTTTCTAACTTCAGAATTGCTTTTAAATATATGGATGGCGATATACTAAAGAAATTGTTCACGACTTTTGTTAGGCCAAAGCTAGAATATGCAGCGGTTGTGTGGTGCCCATATCTTAAGAAGCACATCAACAAACTGGAAAAGGTGCAAAGACATGCTAGTAAGTGGCTCCCAGAACTGAAGGGCAAGAGCTACAAAGAGAGGTTAGAGGCATTAAATATGCCAAAACTAGAAGACAGAAGAAAAAGAGGTGATATGATCACTACATACAAAATAGTAACAGGAATTGATAAAATTGACAGGGAAGATTTCCTGAGACCTGGAACTTTAAGAACAAGAGGTCATAGATATAAACTAGCTAAACACAGATGCCGAAGAAATATAAGAAAATTCACTTTCGCAAACAGAGTGGTAGACGGTTGGAACAAGTTAGGTGAGAAGGTGGTGGAGGCCAAGACCGTCTTGGCCTCAGTAGTTTCAAAGCGTTATATTACAAAGAGTGCTGGGAAGACGGGACACCACGAGCGTAGCTCTCATCCTGTAACTACACTTAGGTAATTACACTTAAGTAATTACTCAGTGAGCACTCCCACAGATGGTCACTCAGTGAGCACCCCCACAGATGGTCACTCAGTGAGCGTCCCCACAGATGGTCACTCAGTGAGTGTCCCCACAGATGGTCACTCAGTGAGCGTCCCCACAGATGGTCACTCAGTGAGCGTCCCCACAGATGGTCACTCAGTGAGCGTCCCCACAGATGGTCACTCAGTGAGCGCTCCCACTGATGGTCACTCAGTGAGCGTCCCCACAGATGGTCGCTCAGTGAGCGTCCCCACTGATGGTCACTCAGTGAGCGCTCCCACAGATGGTCGCTCAGTGAGCGTCCCCACAGATGGTCACTCAGTGAGCGCTCCCACAGATGGTCACTCAGTGAGCGCTCCCACAGATGGTCACTCAGTGAGCGTCCCCACAGATGGTCACTCAGTGAGCGCTCCCACAGATGGTCACTCAGTGAGCGTCCCCACAGATGGTCACTCAGTGAGCGTCCCCACAGATGGTCACTCAGTGAGCGTCCTCACTGATGGTCACTCAGTGAGCGTCCCCACTGATGGTCACTCAGTGAGCGTCCATTGGTGCTCCCCGGTGGGACCACCTGTGGTGGTGCTCACAGAGCGACCACAGATAGTATCTACAGGTGCATAGTGTGGCGACCACACTGTTGCCACAGATAGTATCCTTCATCAACCCTGCTTGGCTGCAGGATTAACAGCCTAGCAGATTTTTTAAATTTTCTTATCACTGCCTGGTATTGTCTAGAAAAAATAGTATGAATCATTTATGTAATGATAGTTTTTGTTTGAAAATTGTGACCTGGCTCTGACAATCTCTTTCAGGATCTGAGTAATCCCTCCCTGATCAACATCATCAACCTGACAGAAATTGCCATCCGCCGTCTTATCAAGATGTCAAAAAGGATATCAGCTTTTAAGAGTTTGTGCCAGGAAGATCAAATTGCTCTGCTTAAGGGAGGCTGCACGGAGATGATGATTCTTCGCTCCGTCTGTGCATATGACCCCGACAAAGATTCTTGGAAGGTTCGTGACTATATTGATATAATTTCTTAGGTTTCTTATTTTTGCACCCCTGGTTAACCCTTAAACTGCTAAGCTATTTAAAACTTCTGTGTTGTGGTGTGCATTGTAAGAGAAAGTACAGTATTGACAACCCTTAAGTATTTAACCCATATGGCAGTTTGTACACGGAAGGGAAATTCCCCGAGACCACCTGAGTCTCAAAACCATCGAAGCCCCGCCCCGACCCCAAAACCACAGACAGTAAGAACCAGGATGCAGGGAGGAAAGGGGGGTGGGGGACCAGACTAGACCACAACAGGGGAAAAACAAGGAGATGTGGAAGGAAACCAAAGCAGCCAATACCCCCAAGCCCCTTCACACCAACCAAAACGGGGCAGCCTCGGGGCTTCCGGAGAGCAAGCACCACAGCGTTGCCATCACTGAAACTCAACTTGCAATGCTTGTGCTGCCTGTACCTGCATAGTCAGCATAAGACCAGGTAACCGAGTTACAAACAAGCAACAAACCTCGTAGGACTCCGGGCCGAAGGTGCTACTGACCCCACAGGCAGCAGACGGAGGCAAGGACCGTGAGAGTCACCCTGAGACAAAGGAAGAGAGCAACCCACAAACTCGCTCGAAGTGAGGGGGGACTTCGGGGTCACATCCATCGGACCCGCTCGTCCCCTAGGGGTTTCTCAGGGTCCTGAGCGTTTACTATAAGTGGACTCGCACTCGGGTAATCCCAGGTCCAAGGTGTGGTAGAGGCAGACCCCACACACAGTGTCAAGTGTAGATACAATAAAGCCCAGTAGGCTCAGGAAGCTGTACCTAAGTCGAGCAACAGGAGACACCAAAAACCCAAAGCGCAACTCCCGCAACCCCTAGTTTGGTAGACTTGGGCGCTAATTAGCGCCCAAGTCTACCAAACAACCTTCAAAGAACTGAACCCCTGGGACGTGTACACTCTCAGGGACCTAGCAGGGAGAACCACCGGAAGAAGGAAGAGTACTCAGTACAAAGGGGAAAAGAACCAAGGCAGGCCCCCCATCAGGTAGACAAACAAAAAGAAAACGGAAAACCCCGCAAGAGGACAGCGAACCCAGGAGGAACAGAGCCGGCCGCCATGAATGGTGAAAACAAGCTGCGCAGTACCCTGCACCCCTACCAGTGCGAACTGCCCCTTACCCTAAGGCGAACAAGGGAGACAGAACACCCTAGCACACAAAGGGCGGCTGAAAACCAAGCAGCAAACGGCCTAGCAGGGGCAGAACCCAAGGAACTTGTGGAAGGTGGCCCAAAGCCCCAAGGGCAATACTTACAAGGCACCTAGAGAAGGAAACCCTAGGCGCATGCAGCCCGAGTACTGGAGGATCACTCCCGGCTCACGCACCACCTAGAAGACAGTTACCACATGCTAGGTACAGTGTTGAAACAACCACCGGAGCCAGAGCACATGTCCTCAGCTTTTAGCATCAGCCGAAGAACTGGAGTGTGGATCGCCGGCGCGGGAGGTCTGGGACTGCCCCTCCCGGGGAGGGGGGGAGCTGCACAGACGGTGGCGCGGCGACAGGTGACATCATATTAGTTTACTAGTTTTTGTTTGGGGGAGTTCTATTCACTCGTTCGACTTTTGGTTGCAATTTTCACCAGAATAGGGGTTTGTTTTGGGACACTTACCTTTCTGGGTGCCTGACCCGGTCGATGGCAGACATAGAATGCGTCCAACCACACGGGGGTTTCTACAGGCAATTGCTTCCCTTGCCTCTCTAGAAGGGGCCAGATTCTGGCTCGTGGTCCTCGGTAGGCCCACAGAACTCTATACACATGACTGATGCCAAAGTCTGACATTAGCATATCAGCCTAGTAAGCTGCGGGGAGCTGTAGAGGCTTCCCCAGGAAAAGGTGTTGGATGAAGTTGTTATGTTCACATGTCAACCTGTCCCTGTGAATAGTACATCACATTTTAATGTATAAATCCCCCCTTAAGGCTAAAAACTTGTGTGTGGAAAATTACAGCGGCTCACAAAACTGACGTGATGTTCCATTTTCTATTTGTGGGTTGTCGGTTAGGCAAGATTCAGGCAATTTAGTACATCAGTTTAGTAACAGTGGGAACACTTGAGAGAATGGGCTGCACGTATAGGTTAGGCCAGCTGGTGGCTGAGCGGACAGAACACTGGGCTCATGATCCTGTGGTCCCAGGTTCGATCGGCGAGAAACAATGGGCAGATTTTCTTTCACTCTGATGCTCCTGTTACCTAGCAGTAAATAGGTACCTGGGAGTTATTCAGCTGTCACAGGCTGCTTCCTGGGGGGTGGAGGCCTATTCGAGGACCGGGCCTCAAATAGATATCTGAAAATCGACTGAAATCATCTCAAGATAACCTCAAGATAGGCTGGGCTAGACAGGGCTAGGCTAGGCTAGGTTAGGCTTGGCTAGGCTTGACTAGGCTAGGCTGGGGTGTAATATAAGTGTAATGTCCAATGCAATGCAGTAATTAATGATTATTTATGTTTGTATTTTGAACATTAATCTCTGCACTGCACACCTGTTTAGGGCAAAAATTTCATGGTGTAGTTTGTTAAGGACATATTTTTGTTGTTTTTATAAATGTTCAGCAAATGTTAATGTCAAAATGTTTCCAAACTCAATCATTTTTCATTTCAAATCACAAAGAGCCATGACAACATTAAAAAAATTTAAATATAGCCTAATTAAAAAAAAAATAACACAACCCTCAGAGCGCCTTGAGGTGCTTTGTGCAGTGCAGTGGTTAAGCATCCCTTATGATACCTGATCAACCAGTCTATGATACATATGTCAAGCTGCGAGCAGCCGCATCCGACAGCCTACTTGACCAGACAACCAACCAGGAGGTCTGGTTGGAGACCGGGCTGTGGGGATGGTGATCCCTGGAATCTCTACAAGGTAAACACAAGATAAGGTAGGTAGGTAGCTCACCCCCCCCCCCCCATCCATCCCCCATAAAACATGTTTCTTTGTCCTGCAGATGTGGATCATAAGGCTTTTATAAGCTATAAGTGATTTCAAAATGTCACCTTTTTCAGATACAACAAGATCATGATCGATTCAAAAACATCAAGCTGATGGTGCTCAAGGCTGCTCCGGGAAATGTATACGAGGAACATAAGCGCTTCATACTGGCCTTCCAGCCAGAGTGGCGCAAGGACCATAATATCATCTTTCTACTCTCTGCTATCACGCTCTTCAATCCAGAACGACCCAACATAATACACGCTGATGCCATAAGGCATGAACAGGTTTGTTCGCTGATAACGACTTTGTTGTAGTAAAAGTTTATAACTGTGTTTTGGGGCAATGGTAAGAGTGGGGGAAAGTTCAAAATTCTCATTAACAATATCGCACTCCGATGTCACAAGCGTCGTCATCCATTTTTCTCCCTATTATCAGCGGATGACATCGCTCGTGTCATCCATTACAATATTTGTAAAATAATCAATTTTCATTGAATCAACCTCTTGGTGATTTCAAAATGAGCGCCATTAGATTGTGCACAATTTGATACCAAAATAAAAAACATAACCCAAAAATTGATGTCAGAACACTTGAAAGATATAAATAATTTTGTGGTGATGAATGTCAAAAAGTCTCCAAACGTTAAAATATTTGTTAAAATTCCATTTATTGTTCTATTATTATGGAACTAGTTTTAAAATACGCGCTTTTATATTGCGCACAATTTGATACCAAAATGAAACACATAACATGAAAATTTATGTTATCAAACTGAATGAGTATATACATTAGTCTGAAGGTGTGCCAATTGGTGCTCGTTCACGGGTAACTTTGCCAACTTTAGGCTTTGCTGTGGGGAGTCATGCCAGGCTTTTAGACCTTATATACATATACTCCTGTAGAGAATTCTATTGCGAACACAATGAGACCAAAACGAACGACGTAGCATGAGAATTAAGGTGAGAAAACTGAAACGAGTATACACATTTTACTGATTTTGAGCGAGCATGCACTAGCATGCATAGCATTTCGGGTAGGCCCTTAATCCTAATTTTCCATGGAATACAACCCGCCAAATCATTTAACAACCAGGTGCTCATTCACTGCTGGGTGAACAGAGGCTACAGTTAAGGACTGGTGCCCGGTCAATCCTCCCCGGCCAGGATATGAACTCAGGCCAAAGAGCCGGGCGAGTGTCTAACCACTGCGTCACGAGGACTACATTATGCTCTCGGTTAGTGAGAGGTAGTGTAGCATACTGAACATTATGCTATCAGCCAGTGAGAGGTAGTGTAGCATACTGAACCTTATGCTATCAGCCAGTGAGAGGTAGTGTAGCATACTGAACATTATGCTATCAGCCAGTGAGAGGTAGTGTAGCATACTGAACATTATGCTATCAGCTAGTGAGAGGTAGTGTAGCATACTGAACATTATGCTATCAGTCAGTGAGAGGTAGTGTAGCATACTGAACATTATGCTATCAGCCAGTGAGAGGTAGTGTAGCATACTGAACATTATGCTATCAGCCAGTGAGAGGTAGTGTAGCATACTGAACATTATGCTATCAGCCAGTGAGAGGTAGTGTAGCATACTGAACATTATGCTATCAGTCAGTGTGAGGTAGTGTAGCATACTGAACATTATGCTATCAGCCAGTGAGAGGTAGTGTAGCATACTGAACATTATGCTATCAGTCAGTGAGAGGTAGTGTAGCATACTGAACATTATGCTATCAGTCAGTGAGAGGTAGTGTAGCATACTGAACATTATGCTATCAGTCAGTAAGAGGTAGTGTAGCATTCTGAACATTATGCTATCAGTCAGTGAGAGGTAGTGTAGCATTCTGAACATTATGCTATCAGTCAGTGAGAGGTAGTGTAGCATTCTGAACATTATGCTATCAGTCAGTGAGAGGTAGTGTAGCATTCTGAACATTATGCTATCAGTCAGTGAGAGGTAGTGTAGCATTCTGAACATTATGCTATCAGTCAGTGAGAGGTAGTGTAGCATACTGAACATTATGCTATCAGTCAGTGAGAGGTAGTGTAGCATTCTGAACATTATGCTATCAGTCAGTGAGAGGTAGTGTAGCATTCTGAACATTATGCTATCAGTCAGTGAGAGGTAGTGTAGCATGCTACATAATGTTCTCTCCACCAGCGAGCAGTGCTCACCAATGTGTTTAGTTTACTCCTCCACAGTGTTTAGTTTACTCCTCCACAGTGTTTAGTTTACTCCTCCACAGTGTTTAGTTTACTCCTCCACAGTGTTTAGTTTACTCCTCCACAGTGTTTAGTTTACTCCTCCACAGTGTTTAGTTTACTCATCCTCAGTGTTTAGTTTACTCCTCCACAGTGTTTAGTTTACTCCTCCACAGTGTTTAGTTTACTCCTCCACAGTGTTTAGTTTACTCCTCCACAGCGATGGTGTTCAGTTCGGTGATATCCTGTTCTGACATCAGTGCTCAGGGGTTTTGAAAGTTTTCACACAATTATGCCTCCTGAAACCTTCCTTAGATTCCATCCTTACATTTATTTTCCTTTCCTATTTTGCTGGCTTTCAGGTAGATTACCATAATTTTCTCTCGGGGGAAGTGAGATGCCTCGTGAGTGTGCAGATGCTGCTTTGCCCACAGCTTCTGTTAACCCTTACACTGCTCCAATCACTGTTTGTGATTGCTCCACGCAACTTTTCTGGGCAACATATTGGTGGAAAGTGACTGTCATAGGCAGGTCGGGGCCGGTGCTCCAAATTACCATGTGTGGTTTTTTCCCGGTTGATGATTTGTTAACTAATTTTAAACCTGCAAACCTCAGTATAGTACTATACCACACATTATACATTAATGTATTTATATAGCAGTGCCCTTTGAGGGTTAAAATCAGTCTGCAACCCAGGCGAGGCGTATCTTATTTTCATCATGATGGGTTCTTCCAATTTCTTTCATTAGAGAGAAACAGAATGAGGTACTCCATTTTTTATTTGTTTATTATTTACTTTTATTTTGAATGAGGTAGCTTAGAAATCTTTCATGAATACAGTAACAGGTAAATATTTTTTTGATAAATGGTGTGTACGAGATGTGTGACATCACTCTGATGTCATTATTTTAATGCCATTAGAGGTTTTGGATTCCACTGTCACTGACTACGGAGGATCCGATCCTGGAGTAAAAAAAATCTCAGAATATACTTTTTGTATTTAAAAGATGAAGACATTACAATTGTTTATTCTCAAGTTGTCATTATGAGCACTGTTGGATCCTCAATGTAATGATATTTGGGGTTTAATATTTGACTGTGAGAAAATATTGAACCCAAACATTCACATCAAACCTGCATCCAAGCCCACAGGCACGCACACACTACCAACTAAACTGGTAGTTCATGTGCCTGGGGAGTCCCAGGGGGTTTTGGGTTTTAATTCCATCGTATGGCTTCAGTATTTTCTCCTAGGTTTATCATATTCTTGTGATTTCATCAATTATTATTTATCTCTTCAAAAATGATTTATTTATCTCTTATTTCTCTAATCCCCAACCATTCAAGTAGTTGGGCACTACTGTATTCATTTCCCCAAATCCTTATCCTTACCCCCCTGCCCAGTGCTATATAGTCGTAATGGCTTAGCACTTTCCCCTGATATTTCCATTCCATTCTTCAAAAAAGGATAAGAATATTGGTTTTTATTTAAGTCACAATGTCATCCTCAAGACTAGTTGATCCATCACCAGTATTGTTCTCCTTCTTGCCCCCAGTGCTCATACCTGTATCTGCTGAAGCGTTACCTGGAATGCAAATACGGCGGATGTGAAGGTCGGACCGTGTACCATCGTCTGTTGGAACGAATCACCCACCTTCACATCCTCAGTGAGAATCACATCCGAGTCTTCCTGGAGGTCAATCCGCAAGAAGTCGAGCCACTTCTAATTGAGATCTTTGACCTGAAGCAGAGGTGACAGTCGTAGGAATGGGTACAGAAGCAGCGTTAGGTTATGTAATAAGGCCCACAACTCGGTGTACAGCAGAAGAAAAATGTTTATAAACTTTTTGTGGGGTTTTGTAACTGAATAAACAACATTTTCTACTGATCTCTTTAATACAAAATATCATGGAAGGTTGTGTATAGTACCATGAACCATTTTAGTTGGCATTATAAAATATTGACATGCATGCCACTAATATACTGTACAATAATGCTATAGTATAAATATTAAATGTTTTCTCATCCCAAGGCTTGTTTTGCTCAAGAAAAAATAATTATTTTTTTTCAACTTGATGAGAAAATCTTTTATTTACAACGAACATATTGGCGAGACGATCATGCCTCACGTTGTGTTGCCAGTGTTGATGAGGCCATCATGCATCACATTGTGTTGCCAGTGTTGATGAGGCCATCATGCATCACGTTGTGTTGCCAGTGTTGATGAGGCCATCATGCATCACACTGTGTTGCCAGTGTTGATGAGGCCATCATGCATCACGTTGTGTTGCCAGTGTTGATGAGGCCATCATGCATCACATTGTGTTGCCAGTGTTGATGAGGCCATCATGCATCACGTTGTGTTGCCAGTGTTGATGAGGCCATCATGCATTACGTTGTGTTGCCAGTGTTGATGAGGCCATCATGCATCACGTTGTGTTGCCAGTGTTGATGAGGCCATCATGCATTACGTTGTGTTGCCAGTGTTGATGAGGCCATCATGCATTACGTTGTGTTGCCAGTGTTGATGAGGCCATCATGCATTACGTTGTGTTGCCAGTGTTGATGAGGCCATCATGCATCACACTGTGTTGCCAGTGTTGATGAGGCCATCATGCATCACGTTGTGTTGCCAGTGTTGATGAGGCCATCATGTATCACATTGTGTTGCCAGTGGAGAAGAATCTGTACGAATATAAATAGCCTTATCAAAACCTACTGTATTGTATATAAAAGTAACTGATGGTCGTGTATACTCGATACCTCAAATGTGTCATATTATATTTTATATAGCATTTATATATAGCAATTTATTGTAGTAAATTAATTAGTTTTTATTGTTCTGAGAATATTTTACATACAATGCCCTCTATTGAGAGTATTCTACACCCGATGCCTTCCGTTGAGAATATTTGATACCCAGTGCCCTCTGTTGAGAGTATTCTACACCCCATGCCCTCTGGTAAGAGTATCTGCACCTGATGCCGTTAGCTGAGAGTATTCTGCTCCCAATGCTCTCTGCTGAAAGTAATCTGCTCCCAATGCTCTGCTGAGAGTATACTGCGCCCGATGCCCTCTGCTGAGAGTACTCTGTGCCCGATGCCCTTTGCTGAGAGTATTCTGTGTCCGATGCCCTCTGCTGAGAGTATTCTGTGCCTGATGCCCTCTGCTGAGAGTATACTGCGCCCGATGCCCTCTGCTGAGAGTATACTGCGCCCGATGCCCTCTGCTGAGAGTATACTGTGCCCGATGCCCTCTGCTGAGAGTATACTGTGCCCGATGCCCTCTGCTGAGAGTATACTGCGCCCGATGCCCTCTGCTGAGAGTATACTGCGCCCTCTGCCCTCTGCTGAGAGTATTATGCACCTGAACACCAAATACTTATCACCAACAACTTGGTGCATTCTCCTATTTAACACTTACCTATCAATGCTTCTCTGTTAGTGACCACGGGGAAGTGAGGTCTAGCTATTTGTGCTCCACCTCCTAGTGCTAATTATCTGGTGCATAAATTACCCTTCTCAGCATTAACTTTTCTGTGGGGAGCCCCTACAGCTCCCTGGAGCATATCAGGCTAATGTAAGTTATGTTAGACCGAGACATTAGCTAAGGAGTTCAGACCTACCAGGGACCTGTGTCAGAACCTGGCCCCTTCAGAGAGGTTTCAGGGAGCAATGGCCCTGGAAAACCCCTTTGTGGTTGGGATTTTCCTTACCTGCCATCGACCGGGGTTAGGCACCCAAAAAGGTAGGCATAACACAACAAACCCCACATGGTAAAAACTAAAACAAAAAACCGAACAGAGAGGTAGAAACTCCCTACAATCACAAGGAAACAAGCAAACATCACACTTTACTGCCGCACCGATCGTCCGCGCAGCCCTCCCTGCCCCGAGAGGGGGAGGGGGGAGCCCCAGACCTACCGTGCCGGCTGCCAAGCTTCAGTTCGTAAGCTAATGTCAACCGGGATAGACGCTTCTCTGGCCTCAGTTTCCTAGGTGGTGTTTGCCTAGTGTGGTGTTCACTGCCGTGTGTTGTGTTGTGCGGTGGCCAGGAGTACCTCATCAGTGCTGGGGCTGCATGCACTTAGTGGCTGACTTCCCTAAGCGCCCTGTGAGTACTGCCCTTGCGTAACAGGGTTATCTTCCCTTGGGCATTCGGGAACCATTCCTGTAGAGGTTCTTGCTGCTCGGCATTTGTCTCGCCCTTGGGCGAGATCTAGCTATTTGTGGGGAGGCCTGGTCGATGACCGGGCCACGGGGACACTAAGCCCCGGAAGCACCTCAAGGTAACCTCAAGGTTGGGGCCAGCTGGGGCTGGGGGCCCTTGTTTGGCCCTGGGTAGTGATTGGTATTGTGCTGGTTAGGGCGTCAAGGTGTTGCACAGCCTGCCACCTAAGCGGCGACCGGTTCCTATTGCCTCTGGAGACAGTGTACTTTTTTTGGGTTTTTCTTTTGTTTTTATTTTCATGCCTGGTGGGGGTCTGCCTAGTGTGGCTATAGTTCCACTGGTAGTGTTTGGCAGCCCTCTGCTAGGCCCCCGTGATTGTACACGTTGCAGGAATTTTCAGTGCTATCCTCTACCCTCTTGTTATTTTGGGGTTTCTTAACCGGTTAGCAACACCTTGCCCGGGCTTCCCATAGCAGTCAGCCTACAGGCCCTGGAAACCCCTGTCTGGGCTCGGGGGACCAATGAATGTGTCTTCCGGGTTCCAACCCGTCTTGTACGGGATCGTTGGTTGCTGTGCCCTTGTCTCCGGGTGACAGTCGACACTTTTACCTCCGTCATGTTGCCTGTTGGGTCACTGACACCTTGACCCGGAGTCTTGCGAGAGAGATTCTCTGCTTATTCTCTAGTACTCTCCTGATGTTATTACTGTTCAGAGTACAGGCGACATCCGTGTTGCAAGCTAGGTTAGGTTGCTGCAACATGCTAGGTTGGTTTCCCACTCGGATGCCCCGAGGCCGCCCCATTTTGGTTAGGTGCTGTTCGCCCCTTTCCCTCCTTGTTCCTGGCTCCAGACCGTCTGCGGGTTTCGGGGTCGGGGCGGGGTTTAGTTGGGGCCGAGACTCGGGCGGTTTTCGGGGGCTGCCCCGTTTGGGTTGGGGGACAGAGGTTTTCGAGCCTGTTCCTCCTGCCAAGCCTTCTGGGTCTTACCAGCGGCCCTTTCTTGCTGCCTTTCCCATGGACTCTTCCTTTTCTTTAAGGGCGGAGGGCTTGGAGGACGGCTCTTCCCCGGGGCCTCTGTTGCTGGTTCCCGGGGCTGTGGGGGATGCCTGCTAGCAGTTCTGGGGCAGTTTGCCCCTGCCTGGGTTTTCTGCTGTTGGGCGGAGTTTTTCGCCCATGCAGTCTGCTTGCTTCCCACTTTTGCTGGCGTGTTTTCGTATCTTTAGCGTCGGTCACAGCCCTCTGTTCTGGTGGCCATTTTCATCTGCCGGTTTCCCGGCGTGGCCACCAGGGCGGTGTTGCGGTTTGTTTACATGCGCCTGGGTTTGCGAGCAAGCTTCTTGGGTGAGTTTTCACCTTTTTTCAGGGGTTTTATTCTCCTGTTGTCATTTCTTTGCTTTTCTGGTGTTTTCTGCCCATTTCCTGTTCCTCTGGGAACGTTTGGGTGTTGATTTTATACCAGGTTTCCCTTTTTGTCTGTTTTGGGTCTGGGCCATTGGGTTTGGGCTCAGTGTCCCTGGCTGTTATGCTTGCTCCCACACCTTGTACCTCGGTTTTCAGTCTGTTATGACCGTTTCCCTGGGGGTTCTATCTGGGGGCTGTGCTTTGCCTTTCTGTGGCGTTTCTCCGCCAGCAAATGTGGTGGTTTGGGCTCCCCCTGGTTCGATTCCGGGTTCCTTTGGGTTCTTTGGTTTCGTTCCGGAGGTTTCTTCCTCTTGGGCCCCCTTTGTGGGTTCAGGGGGCTTTGTTTCCTCGTGTGACCCAGTTCTGCCTTCTGGAGTTCCGGGGTCTTCCTGGCTTGCAGACTGATCTTTTTGGGTCTTGGCACATGTTGTGGTCGTGCTGGGACTTTGAGGTTTTGTTGTCGAGGTGGGCCTTTTGATGCAGTTTTGTGCCTTCTTTGCCTGGCCAGCGTGGTGCTCTCTGCCCACTGGTCGGCGGCTTGTACTTTTCTTTTAAAGTGTATGTGTGTGTGTATGCATGTACATGTGTACACTGTGTGTGTGCGCACATGTGTATACACACGTGTGTGTAACATACCTTGTGTGTATGTGTATATGTATGTGTATATACATAATGTGTATATGTGTATGTGTACTTTTTCTTTCGGAAGGGGCTCTGTTCCCTTCTCTGTTGACGGGGCGCTGGGGGAGCAGCTTGCTCTGTTGACTCTCGCATGGTCCCGCTGTTGGTGGGTGCTTTTGGTTGTCTTCCGGCCTCTGGTGGCGTCGGTGGACGGCTTCTCCCCCTTTGGGGGAGTTCAGAGCTGGCGGGGTGGGCTTCTTGCCCTGCGCTTCGTCATGTCATCTTAGTGGGTGCGTTGGACGTGGTCGATCCGCCCCATCCTTCTGGGGTTCCCGTCTGCTCTTTGCAGTCATGGGGCCTTTCGCATCTGCGGTTCTTCTGAACTTCTTCAGTCTGTGCCCTGGATTCTATGCCCTCCTCGGAGGACTGTTGTCTCCTATCCGGCTTCTGTTGGGGCCGGGTGCCTGGATGGTGGCCCTAGACCTCCAGGTTGGTGACGTCTAGTGCTCATTTCGGGCGCAGGGATTTGATGGTCGCACAGGTTCTTGGCCGCCCATTCTTTATGGGTGTCTGCTCCTGTGTGTTCTTGTTGCCTTGGGTCGCAGGTTGCAACCTGTCTCTCGGCTTCGCGTTGCCGAGTTTGTGGCGGCCGCATCCTGGGTTAGCCTTTTCTTTTCCTTCTCTTTGGGTATGAGGCTCCAGGGAGCTGTAGGGGCTCCCCACAGAAAACCAGCGTTGAATGTAATGAAATACCATTTTCTGGGTGAGCCCCAGAGGCTCCCTGGCAACCCTCCCTCCCACCGGTCGGCAGTTTTTTCGTGTTGGTTGAAGCTTAGCTTCCGAACTGAAGCTTGGCAGCCGGCGCAGTAGGTCTGGGGCTCCCCCCTCCCCCTCTTGGGGCGGGGAGGGCTGCACGGACAATCAGCGCGGCAGTAAAGTGTGATGTTTGCTTGTTTGCTTGCTTCCTTGTGATTGCAGGGAGTTTCTACTTCTCTGTTTGTTTTTTGTTTTAGTTCTTTACCATGTGGGGTTTGTTTTGTTATGCCTACCTTTCTGGGTGCCTAACCCCAGTCGATGGCAGGTAAGGAAAACCCCAACCACAAAGGGGTTTTCCAGGGCCATTGCTCCCTGAAACCTCTCTGAAGGGGCCAGGTTCTGGCGCTGGTCCCTAGTAGGTCTGAACTCCTTAGCTAATGTCCCGGTCTAATATAACATACTTTAGCCTGATAAGCTCCAGGAAGCCTCCGGGACTCACCCAGAAAATGGCGTTTCATTATATTCAATGCTGTTTTTTTATCATATTTAATTTTAAAGTAGTAGATGGAATTAGCTTCAACAACCTCTTCCTTCAGTGCATTCCACTTGCCGACCACCTGTACAGAGAACCAGAACTTCTCTACATCTCTTTGCTTCAGTTGCATATCCAGCTGCCATTGATGTCTCCTTGTCTTACTTTTCTTTAATTTAAATAACATTTCTTTATCTTTATATCTTCCCCCTCAAGATCCCCCTCTGTTTCTTCTCTCTAAGGTTGTGAGGCTGAGTTCTCTCAACCTGTCCTTGTGTTCAAACCTCTGAACTTTCACAATTTTGTGTTTTTGCTTCACATGGTGTGGGTTCCATGCTGGAGCTGCATGCTCAAGTAATGGTCTCACATAGGTAGTGTGTATGGATTTGAAAGCTTCCTTGTTTAGATTCTTACATGATGTTCTTATGTTTGCTAGCTTCCCATATGCTGCTGATGTTACCCTGTTCACATGAGCCTCTGGTGTTAGTGTTGGGATTATGTCTACTTCCAGGTCTGTTTTCCTGTTATTGTTTCTTGAAATTGCCATCCCCTTACAGTACAGTTAAACACAAGTCTTTATCTTTCTTACCTATTTTCATTATTTGGCACTTACTTAGACTGAATTCCAGCAGCCATTTGTCTGTCCACCCCCAAAGTTTGTCAAGGTCTTCTTGCAACACCTTACAGTCGTCTTCAGTTTTTACTCTCCTCGTTAACTTAGCATTAATTGCAAACATCGACATGCACAAATTCACTCCTGTGAGGTCATTTACATAAATTAAAAACAGCAATAATCCTAAGTCTATTGCTGTTAAACACCACTTTCCACTCCTTTCAAACCTAACAT